CGAATAGCAGAACATAAAAGGGCTTTCAAGAATAGAAAAACAGATTCGACATACGCACTTCACCTTCTAGATCATAATCATTCTTTCAATGACAAATTTAAAATTCTTCACGTTCAAAATAAAGGCCTTAAGCTATCTTTGTTAGAATCTATGGAAATCAATAAATTAAAAAACACAGATATAATTCTGAATGACCAACTTGAGACAAACAGTTCTCCCCTCCTCAACCTATTTCATTAGAGACTATAAATTGTAAACGCATGCCAAAAATAGATCACTTGAGAAAGGCTATCAGCCGAAACAGCTGTAGTGATAATAGTTAAAATAAATTTTGTGGAAGTTTGAAAACAAAGTTTTCAGTGTTTTATTGTTACATAAAATGAATTTCCATCAAGTAACGGTCGAATCCATCAATTATTTAAAAATGAATAAATACTTTGTTTTTTGTTGCTTTTTGCAACAATGGACTCTAATGGATGAAAGCGAATAGTGTTGTCAATATATAAAATATATCAACAACTGGTTGTCGTAGAACAAGAAAGATAATTTTAATGGTGTAATATTCTTAATGAGACTTTTTGGAGACATCTTCTAGAGTTCTTTACTGTACACAAAAACGGTAGTATACAACCAATATTTTTACTGCGGAAAATATCCAGTTAATTATACTCTATTGTGCAAACTCTACAATTCAATCAGTAGACCCTTATAGAATATATTTTTTCCGACATAGGAGAGAAAGATGACATTAACAAAGAGTTTTATGATGAATTAGAGTCCCCATACCAATCATGCTCAAAAATTGATATGGAAGGCAAAAGTTGGAAGAGAACAATTCCAACCCACAATACGTACAGTCTTCATGAGCAATCAAGTAATAATGGCAATATGTTAAACCTAGCAAGATCACTTAGCATGCTAATTACCAGGACATATTTCGCTCGAAAATATATACAGTACTGTGCGAATTAATGGAATCATAGGCTGTTTTAATGAAAAAAAACAGATTATGGACCCTTTGGCTGCAATTACTGCTTTTTTCCCGTTTTGGCATATAATCTACGAGCTTCTGACAGTTCCCAGATATCATTTTCTCTTCAATCATTTTTATTTTTGTAGTATAGTCGATTTTGTGCAGTCTAGCTTTACAAATGACCCAGAATTTTTCAATGGGGTTGGGGTCTGGCGAATTACCGGGCCAATCTAAAACATTAATCTTCTTATTTTTGAAAAATTCCATCATTTGCTTTGACTTGTAACAGGGAGCAGAACTCTGTTGAAAAATCGCTTCTCCTTGGGGAAATTTTTGGAGCTCTGTGTCCAAACACTGTTCCAACACGGATTTGTATTTTTGGCTGTTCATCATTCCTTCGATTAGTACCAAAGATGAAAAAATCCGTGTATGAAAAACATATCCAAAACATTTTTTTGGTTGGATCTTTTACGGATTGATCAATATGAGATCGTCTAAGGTTTTCTTTGTCAGTTTTCATTGTTCCTGATGAATTTCGACCGCTGTCTCTGAAGTATAAAGTGAGTCTCATCTGTAAATTGGTTTTCTAATACAATTAGAGTATTTTTGGCCCACAATAGCCTTTGTTTCTTCATTCGTTGAGTTAGAACCTATTTTTTCTGTGGACACATTGTCCTTCTAGCATTATCCCAAAGTATTTTCCGAACAATTAAGTCATAATCACTACACCTGATGCTGCTATATCTTGTTGGAGGGAGCTCTTGGCTTGTTTTTCTTGGGTCCAATTTGCTTTTTCTAAGTAACAATGTTTCGTATGCTAGTGTTGTTTTTCTCTTTCTTTCGCATTTTTTACCCCCTAACTCCACACGTTTTTGCGATTTCTCTTTGTGGTATAGAAGTGTGTTCTCTTCATGTGATATTTTTTTCACACTCACTAATTACCGAGAACAACACAAAATATTCAAAACAACACAAACTTCGTGAGAAATGCCCTAAAATACCCTCAAATAAAAGGCAGAGAAAAGTACGGTTATTTTTTAATTGCTTGGTAAGTTGTAAATATGTGAACAGTGTTGCCAACTGTGAATATTGAAAAATGTCACAATGATTCCATTAATTCGCACAATACTGTGGACAAAATACAATAGATAGATCATGTTATTGCAAACTCAAGACACCAATTCAATATAGTAAACTACACCAGAATATAATAAATTCGCAAATGCGAATTCTGATCACTAGCTGGTCGAAAATAGGTTAAGGGTCAGAATTTCTAACACCAAAGTTTAATTATGGACGATACAGTGTAGAAGGACTTAAAGACGCCAACAAAACTAGAGATTAAGAAAATATAAACATGAAAATAGAAAACAGTATTAAGCATGAAAACAGATGAGGAGTGGGAAGAGTGCAGAAATATCCGAAGTCAAAAGAAAAGGCAAAAAAGTATTTTTGAAGTGTGTATATTTTTTATAATTCCTAGCTGAGCGCTTTCGGCTTTACAAAGCCATCATCGGAGCTATGCTACAATAAAATGTTTTTATAAGTAACTAATTGGTGAAGATTTTAATTTTATACTTACGTCAATTTATAAATACCACTACAATGGAGAGATCTCATTTCCTTATTTGTTGAAATTTTTTATTTTTTTAATTACTTAGTTGTTAAAAATTCTTACAAAACATACAAAAAAGCGACACTGGACTTCACAGACACATTAAAAATTTTTTGTCACGGTACGGGTGTAAGAACCCGACCATTGTTTGCTATGAGGAGGTAGACAGAATAGAACTAATGAAATCAAATGTCGGTCCCTTTAAACGATTTTTCAAAAGTGACAGTTGACAAATGTCATGTATAGGAAATAGAGATTGTTTTAAATTCTTACAAAATTATTTAATAGTTTGGAATTACTAATAGTCATCAAAGACTTTCTAAAATAAGTTTTAAGTTATTAAATCTTATGTGTTCATCACATCATACAGAATGATATTAGTTTGTAAATTGACTCAAGTCATTGATCAAGGTCAATGTATGTTCAATCTGACAGTCATCCCTAAGAAACAAGGTTCAAATCGTTCAATAATAATATAAAGAAGAAACATGGTATTAATGTTACATGATCTGATATTTAAGTGTATTGAGAATTGTATCTCTTGATGGAAATTTGTAAGAAATTTGCATAAAAATTTTTTTAAAGAATATATTTTCATGTTTCAATTAAGAATAACTTGTCAAATGAATTACAAAATGTTGTAAATTTATAATAAAGTTTAGAATTTTTGTTTAAAAATATAAAATTATGAAAAAATGTAATAAGATTGCATGAGGTCACCCTTCTTCCTCTAAAGTCTCCCATAATAATTTAAAAAGAGGTTTATAATTGCAATTGAGGTTGATTTGTGTGTTTAAGCAACAATCAGGGTTTAGTTTCATTTCTTTGGATATCTCAAGATCTTCCAAGAGATTCATGAGTCTAAAGTTTTTATTAGGAATGTTGTGTAAAATTTTACTGTTTTCAGAAGGAGAAAAGGAATGATTATTAAATTTAATGTGATATCCAAAGTTTGATTTTTCTGGGTTATTGAGGTGTTCTTTGATTCTTTGATTCAGAGTTCTCATTGTTCTACCTACATAAGTCATATTACAGTCACCACAGGACAGCTTGTAAATACCACTTCTGTTTAGTTTGTCAACTTTGTCTTTGGTCTTGCTCAAGATGGACTTGATGTTATATTTGGTTTTAAAGGAGATGTTTAAGTCACTGATTTTATTAACAAGTACTCTTGAAATTTTTTCTGAAATTGGTCCTAAATAAGATAAGGATCTATATATGGAAGTAGTGTTGGATTTTTTATAAACACTAAAAGCTTGGTTTAGTCTCTTTTTGAGTATAGATTTTCTAATGATCATCAATGATAATCAACAGTAGTAGTTTAAAGGGACCGACATTTGATTTCATTAGTTCTATTCTGTCTACCTCCTCATAGCAAATAATGGTCGGGTTCTTACACCCGTACCGTGACAAAAATTTTTTAATGTGTCTGTGAAGTCCAGTTTCGGTTTTTTGTATGTTTTTTAAGAATTTTTAACAACTAAGTAATTAAAAAAATCAAAAATTTCAACAAATAAGGAAATGAGATCTCTCCATTGTAGTGGTATTTATAAATTGACGTAAGTATAAAATTAAAATCTTCACCAATTAGTTACTTATAAAAACATTTTATTGTAGCATAGCTCCGATGATGGCTTTGTAAAGCCGAAAGCGCTCAGCTAGGAATTATAAAAATATACACACTTCAAAAATACTTTTTTGCCTTTTCTTTTGACTTGTCATAAGTGTGTACAAAAAACATATCAGTCTTTTGATTAGAAATATCAAAGCAGCGGAAGAAGTACCAAGCATGGAAAGTAAGCAAAGAAGAACCAATAGGGACTGAAGTTATTATAATAAAGAAACAGTTGGTATAGTATATTACCCGCTTTTAAACAATACACATGTCATACAAACTCCTGTATTTGTTTGAAACTGACATACAATTTTATTTATTGTCCGAATTTTAGTTAAAAAACATATTGGTCTCCAAAATTCTCTTTACATTTAGTCCATTATCATCTTACTGAAACATTCGTTTTTCTAACAGCGTCATGTAAGTCAACTCGTAAGAATAAGAACACAAAACCCCGTCTTTCGCTTTACTCCATTGAATTCAGTTCCCAACTCGAAAACAGGCAAAATGATAGCGACAACGATTTCGATCAAGTACCTACTCCAGTCTCTCCTAAGCCAATGACTCCCCGGAGGGTAAAACGACGAAGCGTGATGACTAGGGGATCTTCAGGTCGGCACAGCACTAGCAGTCACCGGTCACACACCAGATCATCTACAAGGTCAAGGAAAACAGCTCAGAATCCGGTAACCAGATTGTTAGAGCAACAGCAAAAAAAGCCGTATGATAGTCCTTCTAGTCTTTCGCCAATTGAGTCGCCTTTGTCAAATTATTACATTTCGTCTAATAATAACTTAATGGCTCATCAGAACTGGCCCATTAATGCAGGCCATACAAATCCAAACTATCAACAATCTTCCCAGCAGAGCCTAAATGAAACAGAAGAGCTGGATGATTTATACAATAATAGACCTGCGTCTGTAAGGTCTAGTTATTCTAATTTTCATGGTACAAGGGCGTTGAACTACTCACCGCCAAAACATTACCATAGTCATGCTACTCCTCAAGTACCTCAGAAAAGGGGACAGTCCAGTAGGAGCAGCATGAGATCCATGGCATTTTTGAACAATGGTCCTCCTGCGTATACCTCTCACGGTCAAAATCCTGGAGACTCAGAGACACCCATGTAGGTATTATTATTTGTAACATAAGTATTTGAACAAAGAAAGTCCCAGCACATATTTAACATAAAAAACATAAGACGATCTTGTACATATATTTGCAAATACAAACCAAAAACAGTAGGAGAAATGAAATTAGGTTAATTTACAATCAGGACCTTTTTTCACAGATATTTTTTATTGCCAGGTTGCTTTTGATTGATACCGGGAAAGGGTGCGGCATATATTAAATACTTTTGCGTTTTCACTTGACTGATAATCGAAAACCATAGCGCCTAAATAATTTTATAATTTCACGTCATTTAACTAAATTGTACACATTTTCGGATATTTTTTCATATATTTTTTTAATATTTGATAAATATAATATGACACATTTAAGTTGATACCGTCCTTACAAAAAAGGTAAGGTGACAAATTGACATAAGCGGCCGGTTGCATAACTAAAATGTGCTTTCCAACTTTTTACTGGAACCGCTTTCTTTGTTCAACAATATATGCTTTAAATTATACGAAAAACTCCGTTATTCGAGTTTGCTATCTTGTGATATAGTTTTAATTAGTATAGTTTCATTATAAATCTATTGTGTAACGATCTCTTATGTAATGAATCTCTTCATTTCATGTACAAACATAAAACATACCGATGGCAAAAAATGCAACATCTAGATGGACCAATATTTTTTTAAATTTTTATTTATGAAAGTTCCAATTAAAATGTTTCTTTTTTTTTCCTGTTGTACTTATTCATGTTTTAATTTATTTTATCCTGTTTTCTAGTCTCTGCAGTACATTCACTCTTTTTGCCACCAGCGTGACCTCTTTCTGCTTTAACGTTATTTGTTGTACTTTGCTTTCTAGCGTTAGTTAGTCTAAAACTTTGAAAATTCTCCGATGTGCTTTCAGCGGTTAACTGATAATGACGGACATGTTCAATACTCTTTGCTTGTTATTGCTCTGATTTTTTCTGACATTACAATTACGAGGAATTATGCAGTGATTTATTATTGCAGTTTGATCGTTTTTCTGCCCGACCTTTATAACTTTTATCTTTACCCTAATCCTTAAGATTAAAGTCAACATTAATATTAAAATCGAAATTAACAAAAATTCTTAAAAAAATCATTTCTCCCACATAACTATTTTCACCCTCAGTATGGACGGTGTCGCTATTTTGATCTTTCTCTCTTACTCCTTGAAACTCCTTGATATTTGCCAAGTTCCTTTCTTTGAATTTTTATGTCTTTTGGATAGTCTTCATTTATAAATATGTCTATACCTCTTAATTTCTTCGTTTTTTTTGAGAACTTCATTCTTTTTACTCAAATTTTTGTGAGGATCGGTCTTTTCTTAATAATATTTTTGATACTGTGTTCGAATTTCTGCAATGTATATTCGGTACTACTTGCCATTTTCTTGAAATTTCTTATCTTATTTTTGGTTTGGGTTTAGTCTTCATTTTCGATCTCTTCTATTCCTTGGATGATCAGATACTTTTTTCTTACTTCTCTTTCTAATATCTCTACCTTTCTTTCTTGAATTTGCAGTATTGTTTGAAGTTCTTGGTTCCTTTTTATTTAATCTCTTGATTTCTTCCGTTGGTAATTGTCTTCCTGCGATCTCTTTAGTAATTGTCTTGATTTTATGTTCCATTCTCATGTTTTTTTTTCAGCAGATCTAATTTTAATAGTTTTTCAAAGATCGCACTAATTTTCTGTTCCATTTCTTAACAACTGATAATTTTTAGGGTATGGTACCTTTATTGTAGCGAACCGTAATAACTGTTTTGAACAAAAACGTTACTTACAATAGAAAAGGTTGAAGTAATAAAATTGTTTATACATATTAAAAAGTTTTACATAAACTACCAATGTCCTAAACTGTCAAAGCGATTGATTAATAATCTTAATTACAGATATTAACAAAAACTTTAATTTAAACAAAAATTTGTCCCTTTATTATATAAATGAAACTATATTTCTTAGCTTCCTTCTTCTACTCTTCTTTACATCTATAGGTATAGCGTCTGACAGATTTTCAATTGAAATATAAAGTGTACATACCTAAATTCACAATTTTTCCGAGAAGGCACAACCCCTAAGCCGGGGTAAACCTTTATCTCTAGCGAGATAAAAACTTTATCACATATATACTTTTAGATAAGACTTACAAAGAAATACTTTTAATCCAAATAAGTAAGTATACAAAATGTTGCATTTTTTTGGCCATCAGTATATTTAATATTTCTGTATGTATGTATATATATTTATGTTTACATATAATTGCACACAAGTGCCTAGTGAGTCGTTTTCGAATCAACTACACATAACCTAACCATACTAAAATATAAGTTCACTCTTTTTTACTTAACATTTTAACTGTTATATTCAGTTAATGTAAAAGGAGCTGTACTTTTACATTTGGCTAGCCTGGAACTAAAGTGGTCTAAGTAACAAAACCACTTTTTCGAGAAAATTAAAAAAATCCATTTTAATGTATAAATCGGTTGGTACAGGAACTAAAACCAAAATTTTTGTACAAAAGTTTAATTACGGTTACCAAAAATCTTACAAACATAAAAAAAATCCTTACTGATAACTGAACTTCATTTTGTTAATTTTTTTTTATTTAAAAATGTAACATAGACCATTTTAGAATTATTAAAAATAGTTAAGTAAACTTATTCATCCAAGTCTTCACCTCGAAATGGTGGTAGTATGTCTTCATTATCCTCCCTATCACCTCTGCGATTGTAATGGGGTAAAGAAAGATAAAATGGATGATGCACAGGAGGTACAAATTGTAGCATTTTTTTTATATCTTTCATTTTATTAAAAGATAAGGGTCTAATATCTGCGGCAACCTCCGGGGAAAAGTTTTTTAATACCTGTGCAAATTCTTGAAAAGAATTCATTTTATTTAGATCTATAGCATTATAAGTATCCGAGTAATCATCATTGAAAAACATTACCGATGTATCTTTGGAGAACTTAATTCTGCGTATTTGAGAAATCATGACGCCAGAACTCCGCAGGGCATGAGGTGACTTAAAAATCTTCAACTTGTCGAATGACACAAACTTATCCACCATGTTTTTTACACGAAATGGGTGGCGCTTTCGACAATTTGAAATTAATTCCATCCATGCTTCAGGAGTGTACACTGGGGTTAAATTCTGTGCCCTACTAATAAATGAAAAATCGCCATCGTTTGGTAAATATGTGTGACCGGTAACCAGATAATTTACATAGATATCTTGAATGTTCGGTAAAACGTTAACCATGTACATAAGAAAATGTAACAAATTCCAGTTCCGATTTTGTCCCCCACAACAGTCACTAAAGAGAACAAGTTTTGTAGCATGAGGAGGAATGTCATTTTTAAAATAGTGATATAAACAACTTATCACTTCTTGAGAACCTCTAGCCCCTTTGGTCTCATACCACATGTTCATAAAAACGTTTTCTCCACCACTTTCATAAGTATGAATTCCTAAGTTTAACATATGCATCTGCCTTAAGTAATACACCTCACCGGTATTTATGTGAGGTAAGGGAAGTGTTCTTTCCAAATCAAATGTAATTAATACACCTGTACTGTCCGGCTTCACACACTCGTTTTTGTAATCTTTCAGAAGTTTCCTAGCTTTTTGAGCCAGAGCAATATGCTGGTCCCTTTCTATTTTTACTTGTTCTGATTTTTCTTTATTACTTTCGGCATTTAAACTTATTTGAAATGCATCGCAAAATTTGCAAGTATCTTTTTTAGGTATATAGAAATGAATATTAAATTCGGTTCTAAAGATTTTTTCATAGATACTTTTTTTAAGAACTGGTTTTCCTTCAATAATTAATTTACATTTAAACAGTTCGTACATTTTGGAAATATTTAAAGAGGGTGCAAAATATTGGCGCTTTGAGGTTCTTTCTCCATAGTGGCTCTTAAATTTAGGAAAACTATTAATGTGATCACGAATCCACTTCAATTTCTCCTCGTTTATTTTATTTCCAGGAACTTTTCTTCCTCTTCGATCGGGGGAAGGGATATTACTATTTTCGGCTTTTTTTACTCTTAGTGCATAATCTAATCGATGATTACTTATTTGTAATACTTTAAAAAAAAAATTTTACACACGTTCTGACCATTTAGTTGAAATATCCGTGAATATTGTTTACGACTCACAGATTCTGGGTGTATTTTTTTTCGGGGACGTTTAGGTGCTTTAGTTCTAACTGTACCACACAACCAGCTAGTTTGAGCGTTCCAATCCTGTAGTTTGTAAAATCTGTCATGTACCTCTCTCTGGACATTCTCTGGCACTCTATTACTGCATTTTAGACGACAATTACATTCAATGTAAAAAAAACGTTTTAGCGGCCATAACTTTCCCTTTTATACTAGTGTATTTCTCTCCTGAAGCTCTACATCTCTTTCTGACGTATTTCCCCCATAAAGCCTCTTGTTTCATTTTCTTTCTTCCCTTTCTTACTTCAGTTTCGTCCGGTTCTTGAATTTCCCCAAGATTTTCCATGTTTTGATTCAACAACACAGGTTCATGTTCAACATCGGAATCTGTAACAAGAGGAGGTAGTTCAGTATGTTTACTTAAAACAATAACATTATGTAACGTTGCGATGCGTTAAAGCTTTGTTTTAATTAAGCTGTTATAATGGTTTTAAAATAACTCTTAAAATACCCATTAGGGGCAGACAAATTTAACAAAAATGTAGCTTATTTTGTTTTAATATATTAATTTCTTTGAAAAATAAAAAATATGGCAACAGTGCGCATCAACAGATTAATGTAAAAACATCAGCACGTGGATTTTCCTACTAGTTACTACTTTCTTTTTAAAATCAATTGCTTCCCTCATTGGTTACTAAACTATAATATTTTATTTAAACATGCACTTACTTGTATTTGTGTTACTATCTCTTGCATCAGAATCGCTGCCATCATTATTTGAAGGTATGTACTCATCTTCACTTGAACCGGGATAAGGTTCTGAA